TGTTTTCGTTTCAATACAAATAAACAGTGTTGAAATTCTATCATTAAATATATGCATGCGTCTTCTTAAATTTTAAGTATATTTGGTTACTTTTCACATAAATGGTCATAGAAACATAATTTACAATTACGAAAACTATGATAGTTTTCGTGAGCTCAAACTCGTACTAAGGGTACTGGTCACAAGGCACGAACTACCCAACCCTGGCTTTGAAACCCACGTTCCGGACATTATAAGAGCTGAAGACTGGTCCTCATCTAGCCCAGACCTCAACCCTTTAAACTTCAAATTATGGTCAGTAGAGGACATGGACAGCGGGGTTAATCTGTAAAACTCTCACCGCGCGTATATTCTTTCTTTCGCGCATTTCTTTCTCACTTTCTGGATATTCGCAGTGATTAGTGTAGTAGTGTTTTTTTATGATGCTGTGCCACGTTGTAAAATGGTCCGATGACGTGGCTTTTGTTACGTGTCGACTTATCTCCATTTTGGTCTTTATCTCAGAATACAGGTCTTTATTTATAATTCATAAACAACATTTCATCCATTCATTATGGTTTTGTCTTTTTTTTCTCTCTTATTCTTCCAAATATTTGTAGACAAAGAGCCGAGCCCACACAGCCTCTTGTGTTATTATTATTATTTTTTTGTTTTGTGCTGGACTGTTATGGGCGAGGGATGCGAGGTCCAGATTGTTTTGTGTATTAAGTGATTGTCTTGTATTTCCGTCCGTCGATGTCCAAATTAGGTCCCTCCAGAATATCAGCGTTGCAGCGGCAATCCATTTTTGCCGTTGCAACATTATGCTGAGGTGGGGCCTAGTTGACGATGTACCTTTTGTTTTATGTTTGTTGTGTATTTATTGTAATTGTTAATGTATGTCGTCAATAAATGTTTTTCTTTCTTTCTTCTTTCTTTCATATTTAGGAAACGCGTTGGATCCGCGCGTGAGAATTTACGGAATAGCCCCGCTGCTCTAAACGACACGGTGACATTGAGTCTCTTAAAAAATCTTTGGAGCATGCCCCTTAGAAACAGTACGTTACTCCATAAATTCGTGGCCAAACAGATTAAAAGCCTGTATAAAAGCCAAAGGTGGTCATTTCGAATAGTTTTTTTTTCGCTGAGACTTTAATTAATATATTGGTATAAATTTTAGTAATATTGCATTACTTCATTAAAAAAAGAGAGTGTGCTTATAGCTATACGACTGAAGTGAAACTTCTTTAGCTCCAATGATCTGAAAATCATAAACTTAACCTGACGATTTGTTGAAAGAAATAAAACCAACAATCCGCGCTGGTTCCGTTATCACCCTCCAATCCGTACTGGGTCTATTATCACCCACCAATCCGTGCTGGGTCCGTTATCACCCATCAATTCGCACTGGGTCCGTTATCACCCTACAATCCAGGATGGGTCCGTTATCACCCACCAAGCACTAGATTTATGTATTTTGTGACGGGTGTTGTTCATTGTTTACTGATGAGCCACCGATGACACTAATCGCAACGTAAGAAACCGGCCAAGTGCGAGTCGAACTCGCGCACCGAGGTTTCCGTACAAACCTGAATTTACAAAAATATTTTTGATTATATGATTTAACTAAAAATTTACGATTTCACAATTTTTTCTTTATCTGTACTATAAGACATTATTTCGTACCAAATTTCAAGTTCACGGGACCCTGTAGGTTTTGGATTCCCGTGCGAGTTTCGAAAATTTGCTGACATTGGCAGCATAGACGGCTGTATCTTTTGATTGCTTTGGCTCAGAAGTTTGATTTTTTCACAGCTCCAAGGGACAGTAGACCTGAGTATTAGATATGAATTTCAGTTTGATATCTCCACGCGTTTCTGAGAAAAACGGTCTTGACTGACGGACGGACGGACAACATAGTGATCCTGTAAGGGTTGCGTTTTTTCCTTTTGAGGTACGGAACCCTTTCAAGCGTGCCTAAAGAAGTTTCACTTCAAAAATGCATTTTCATTTGTAACAGAACATATGGCTGGACTAGGTAGAATATTATCCTGGTCCTTAGTGACTCCTAGTCCATTAGGAATATTTCAAAAGTGTTCCTTGCTTTCAGCTCAGCTCATTCTAAAACGGACTAACCCCTAACTTTTGTGAAGAACATAAATTCGACATTTACATATATTGACTTATTCATATTATTTTCACAATTACAGTAAAAATTGTATGGGTTGCTCAATGAATGTGCGTTATTCTGCGTGTGACCTTACCTTAATTACACACTTTGGCAGTTTGTTCTGTATCATTTACCTCAATACAAATCTTTACAATGTTTACTTCTATTATGATTCAATTCCTCGTCTATAATAGGAGTGCAATTTCTTTGTTATTTGGTGTAATCATAATTCAATAGATATAAGCCTCTGATTAACACTCTATTCTCGACGACCGGCCGAGTGGTTTGTACGCCGGGTTTCATGGTGTCGCCGACTCGAGAGGTCCCGCGGGTTCGAATCCCGGTGGGGACAGATGTTTGTGTGATGAATACGAGCATTTGTACTCCAGTCATGGATGTTTAATTCTATATAAATATACTTATATATGTACAGTATATGTATTCTATCCGTTACCCTAGTATCCCATAACACAAGCCTTACAGAGCTTACTTTGGTGCTTAGGCTAATTGGTGTGAGTGTTGGAAATATTTATTTATTTATTTAATCTTCAATTATTATTAACCGGGGCGCTTGACTGCACAGTCACACGTATGCAATTTACTAATGTTTTGTCTTGCATACAAAAAATAGTAAAGAAGTCATAGGGCCTATTACAGAAGTAAAAACGGTAACTGAGATTTAGTTTATAGACACATAAGATAAGCCTAAGCAACATACACCATTTACGCAAACTGCAAGTTTTATGAGTTGATATTTTACATTATCATTGTTTAATGTATAATTTATGCAAAGGTATTTTTTTGCTTTAGTCTAAAATAAATAAAATTAGTTATTTTTAACAAAACGATATCAAAAATGAGGAGGAGCTGGCCAACAAAACGATATAATTACATAAAATTAAATTTTACAGGAGCTGTATTAAACTAAAGACATACCTACAGTGAGTTTTTGGATTGGTTTTTTATTTATAAATTTAGTAATTTTAACACTGTTTAAGGCGGTTTTGATTTGAAAATTAGTTGAGGATCAAATTCAACGGGCCCGAAACCTCCGGACTGTGAAAAAAAAGTAGTTTGACCAGATATGTAAGTATACCTTTTTTTCGCAAGATCCTCAAATATTAAATTCGGTCAAAAAATCACTAAAGATCATCATATCGAAATAAATAAAAAAATCGAATAATTAAATCAAAACCAAGTTCATCAAAATATTATTCGTTTATTTGTGAACAAAATAAACATAGGTACAATCAACTCAATATATTTGATCATTTACAAATCAAAATTTTTAATAAAATGTTTTTTGTACCAATACCTCTACAGTGGGCCTTTTTAGGAACATAGAAACTTATCATGACCCGTCATAAAAAAATATAAACTCTAACAAAACAAAAAATATGGAATATTATGTGGGAAATTTAACCGAACACATGACATTTTATTCGATAATCAACCTCTTACAATTTCTTTTAATCAAAATCTAATTGTACGATGTACCATCTTAGGGTACTCAAAACCTAATCTTCTTCTAAAATAAGAGTGTTGAAATAAAATCAAATAAGAACATTTCTTTTCCTTTATTCTAACGCTCAGCGAACAATCTTTGACTTATAAACATTGCCAGTTAAATAAAGCTTTGAACTTTTAAAAATAAGTAGTAAATTTTTAGTATTTTTTTCCAATACTTGTGTTATCATGGTCTTCTGCAACATATACCTAATTCCTACTTAGGACCGACGCACCTAAATAGGCACATCAGTGTTTTTAAAAAACAGTATTTATAGAGTCCACAAATTATACCTAATTTACACTTAATTTAATTTTAATAGTTTTTATTAATACTTAAAAAGCAAATAAACAGACTAATGGATAACATTCTTCTTTTTTTTAATCGATTAAAAAGTAACGGCCAATCGCAGGGTTTAACTAGAAGAATAAAATTTTCACAGTTAAATGTAAGTGTTTTCTTTCAACACGTTGGAGTTAAATAAATTCATCCCCTTACTAAAGGCTTGAAATGTGGGAACGAAAGTTTAAAGTTGGTGAATGAAGGTACCTAAATTGAAAAAAAAATTGTAGAAGAGATTATAAGGTTATCAATAAAAGATTTATTGATACCTACTCACTTTTTGGAATTTCGCTGTCTAATGGGTTAAATATGGGATGAAAGTTTATAAAGATACTTTGTTATCGCTAAACTTAGAAGTTTTAAATATTGGTTTATGGGCTATTTATATAAATCGCTTGAGGAAGTACGTTAAATGATAAAAGTATACATAGATAAAACGTCATTTTTTGAGTTTCTAAATGAATAACTTTCATTTATCAACTCCAAAAATTACGACGACGACGTTTGTTCACTTAGAAATGCAATAATTTATAGTATATTGTAACTTCATCCCATCAGGGTACAAAACGAGGCAAGAACGAGTAGTCCACGCGGGAAATGCTGCCGGACGAAAAACTAGTTCATCATCATCATCAGCCTATTAATGTCCCCACTGCTGGGGCACAGGCCTTCATGGAATAGGGAGATTGGGCCATGACCCAGCACGCGGGCCCAGTACGGATTGGCGGGTGCTAACGACTGCAGATACAGACGAGACTAATGGCTTAACGTGCCTTCCGAAGCACGGAGGAACTCGAGATAGTAAATTTTTGGTCACCCATCCAATGACCGACCACTGTGAAAGTTGCTTAACTTCAACGATCGCAGCCGAACGCGCTAACCACTTGCGCCATGGAGCTCCTCTAAAAACTAGTTACATAATATCTATCTTTAGCCTTCACATTCATTTGTTATATAGTGTCGTGCAATTTTGGTTGAGTTTATAACTTAAGAAACTTCTTCAAAGTACTAGAAAACTATAAAAAAAAGATGCATGAACTAACAACGACGTAAATGATCAGACACGATTGGGTGGAGAGCAAACCATCATCGCCGCGATTAATCGCCCATTATGGGCCATTGTGAAGAGGCGCCTTAAGATTCTCAAATTCAGAATTGCTACATCTACCAAAGCGAAGAACAGTTAAAAACGAATGCGGCCGCGATTCGGAACGCATCGCGGCGCGGTCCCGAGTTCATAGTAACATTCTAGAGATTCTAGCTGTCAAAAATTGACCATTACAAGCCTTGAGATAACTTGTTTATCTATGCGGGCCGCCCGAGCGCAGTTTGCTACGGAAGCCTACCGCGACTAGTTGCTCCGATCCGTCATCTTTATTTCAGAATTTATACGCAAGTAAGTTTATCGTGATTTGTTTTTGTTTACGAAAATATTTTGTCTTCAAACACACTACGTACGAAAAAATACAAGAAATTTTGAGTGTTTAAATGTACCTCAGAAACCGTGTAACGGTACGCTTGTCCAGTGGTTATTAACCGTGAATGTGAAACATTTGGTTGCCGATTCAAACCCCGTAACGAATAAATGACGTATTTTATCTATTAATGAACCTATTATTAAAAAATAAGGTATATTGTTGCATTTTAGGAACATGAGTTTTGGAAGCTACAAGAATGTTGTGGTCGTGTATTTTACAAATAATGTGTGAAGAGTTACGCAAACTTACCTAAGTTTTTTATGTATAACATGTTCACGTGATAAGCGTTCAATAAAAAGACTTAATGAGAAATACTAGTTATTATTAACTAATATTATTCTCTTTAAAGGAGCATTTTTAGTTACACTTCTATTTAACTGTCGACTTAAAGTCTTCTTCATTTAATAACAGCGGTAGTCGAGTCAAACTCAAAAAACTTTTGTAGTGTAGGTATATGCAATTGTATACTTTGCTATGCCAACTACGGTTTTGATGCCAAGCGAATTTTATTTTTGTGTGCGCAATTAGAGTTTTTTTGTATGATAAACTTTTCATAACACTAATACCTCAAAACCTTTTAAGAGAAAAAGTTCTGTACTTGTGTTCTGTACTTTAATATATATCAAAAAATTAAACCTCCAGCTGCTCTTCAATTCAAGAAAAATAATAAGACACATACATGACTCTGTTAAAGTGATAAAATTCTATCACAGCTAAATAAGAAACTTGCTATTCGAATGAAGTAAGTAAAAATATATTTTGTAAGATTATTTATAACTAGAGGTCGCCCGCGATATCGTCTGAGTTAACTTAGTTTCTTGAAAATCCCTCTGAAACCTAACAGTTTTCGGGATAAAAGTAGCCTATGTGTGAATCCAGGGTGTCAGCTAACTCCATCCCAAATTTTATTAAAATCGCTCCAGCCGTTTAGACGTAAAGAAGTAAACAAACATACACACTCACATACTCACAAACTTTCGCTTTTATAATATTAGTGTGATCTACTTATAGATATATATAAAAATCCCTATTGAACAAAACTTAAGGATATCTTTAACAATTTCATCCATTTTTTGGAAGTTTACTAATACCTGGTTGAAGTTTCTTAATTGAATTGATTGATTGATTGATTGAAACAAAAAAAATACCTTAACTTACAACTCTTTTCAATAGAAGTCGGTTTTAGTTTTTTTTAAACATTTCTATCTGTTAGGTCCGCTTGTCTAAATTAAATAAATACGTGAAGGACATTATGTGTACTTAGATTTTAAATTGAGAAGGACATGTACAAGAAGCTTATATTTTCTTTTGTATATTAGTTCTACGTGTACCTTAACAATCTAGATATCTAAAGTATGAAGTATCTTAATATTTTATTATCAGTATTAAGTTAATAATATCTTATAATAAAAATATTTTTCAATACAAGTATACAGGCACCATCCGGTTTGCTGCATTGGGCAGACGGCTTGCGCGCTTTCGTGACGCAAGAAAATTTATGTCCACATAAAATTTTGAAATTTTTATACGACCTCGCTATTTTGAAAAGATTGATTAACTAATTCCAAGGCCCCGTCTGCGGGGCCTTACCTAAGTCGACAGATAGATTTTAAATAAATAAGCGATTCTTTTAGAAAAAGAAAATAATTTGCGAGACATTAGGAATGTTATCTATCTATACTTATAATAAATCTGTAGAGATGTCAATTCTGGACATGAAATATATTTTTAAAATAACTATCAGGGGGTAATTAGTGATCGATACTGATGCCAAAAATGCAATCAGTAAAATTTTTGTCTGTCTGTCTGTGTGTATGTTCCTTATAGAAACAAAAACTACTCAACGGATTTTAACGAAACTTGGTACAATTATTCTTTATACTCCTGGGCAGGTTATAGTATACTTTTCATCACGCTACAATCAATAGCAGCAGAGTAGTGACGGAAAATGTTGGGAAAACGGGAGAAGTTACTCCATTTTTTAAGCTTCCGTCGCGGGTGCAGCCTTAATGGTTAAAGTTACATAGAAATCATGTATGACGGAAATATTCTACATAAAATTGTCTAAAAAATAACCCGCAACAGCATATGTCTATCTTTTATGGTTGACTCACAATAACACGTGTAATTATATAAATAAAGTCATTCTTTATAGCCCAAGTCTGAGAACAAAAACTATAGTTTACACTACAGCTCTACACCGAAGCGAAGCGAGGGCGGGCCACTAGTGTTAAAATAAGCTGTATAAAATTGCAATACATACATCATAATCTCTATGTTTGCAGGGATAACAAAGTTTAGAATTATTTTAATGATAAACATTGTAAACATTGTTATTTTTAATAAACTGTTCATATCTTCTCTATGCAATAAATAATAATGCTGATAAAAAAATTGCTGATGATATTGGAAATTGTTATTTGAATACAATTTATACTTTATCTGCTTTTGTCTATTTTGGAAATAGCAAAATGTGAGTGTTTGATTGAACATCTTAGTAACACAATTTACACCTAAAAAAAATATACTATCATACTTAAAACAAATTTAGAAAAGTTTAGCGGTTGCAAGCATTTTTAAAACCGTTCACCAATGCCCTTCACGGGCTCTATATCTCGGACCGCTTGGGACCACTACGAGCGCCAGTTCCATCCGCTTAAGACACGCATCTGTGAACATTTTATGCAAATATGGAATCACAAAATATAAATTATTATAACTATTCAGTGGATGGTTTTTTGATTTCAACATTAAAAGGCGAAATTTAGTTTTTTTATTATTTGTTCTTAACATAACAGTAACAATAAATCTAAAGAAATTTTTACCAAAAAAAGTTCCATCCGAACCAGGCAATTTAGTTATTATTGGTTTATATTTCCATTCATCCTGTTTCATTCTTAATATTAAATTAATGAACCAGTAGACGAGTGGCACTACCACTTTTTTTGTGCACAAGCCAAAGTTTCAATCCTACTGCTACCGCAGAGCGTGTAGGTATAAAAAGTGAAGTAGATTAGAAAAAACTGATTCCCGACCCACTTGACCGATAATTCGCTTTAAAATGTCAAAACAGACAAGTTTTCTTCTATAAAGAATGCGTCATTGTACTGAGGACTTTCTGATTACAAGGAACCTGTATTAATGTGGATCAAATTGACTGATCGTACATACATGAGATTACTTTCTGTACTATTTATTTTGTGAATTTTATATTATCTAATACCTTTTAAGACTAAGTATACCTACCTAATTGAAATTATTTATGAATTTTAATATAATAGAGCACAGCTTTTAATAGACTAGTGGCCCGCCCTCGCTTCGCTTCGGTGTAGAGCTGTAGTGTAAACTATAGTTTTTGTTCTCAGACTTGTATTATACACAATGACTTTCTTCATAATAACATAATTATAAATCTTGCGTGAAAATTTATTTAACTGATAGTGAACATTTTGGTGCGTAGTTTAGGACCCGTTGAATAGAAAGCACCATTGCTCTGCTGATAAAAAAAAAAGTTTGTACCCCTTACCATTGGTCCATGCCCTTATTATTAAATTTATCTAGTGACGCAGTGTTTTGTACACGCCCATCACTTTTGTCACTCATAATTATTGCACTTATCGTCGCGTCGGATGTTTCTAATGTGATTCTGATCATAGAAATTGGTACTTTTTGATTTGACTCAACACGCGTGGCATGGCATTGCGTGGCATCGCGTTTCATAAGTCTGATTCGGCCATATTGATTTCATGAAAAATGTTGGAAAAACGGGTAAAAATATTCCATTTGTGAGCTTGCGTTGCGCGCGCTGGGTAAGCGGTTCAAGTTACAAAAAATCATGTATGACGGAATTGTTCCTCTTTAAAAGTTCTGAAAAGAAGTTCGCGATAATATAATATGTCCATCATTTAAGTTTAACTCACTATAACCTTTTTCCTCCAATTAACGCGGATGAAACCGCAGGGGATCTCTAGTTGTGACTTAACTGTAATAGTTAGACATGTGGTATTGCGTTTTTTTTTGAAGATATTGATGTCCTCTGTAAAACTTTAGTACATCACTTTGCTGTATTGACGATGACTTCCGCAGCGAACGCGATATAAGGTTATTTTTTGGTATTTTTTTCAAACAATGGGTTACATTATTGAAGTTTTCATCCGGAACCCTAACTGTTATGAAAATACTATATAGCCTATGTTCATATGGGGATAATGTAGGATTCTAAATTTGAAAGAATTTATCAAATCGGTTCTGTATTTTCTGAACTATTCCATACAAAGAAACAAACAAACAATCAAATCTTTCCTCTTTATAATATTTATTATATTAGATGATTTATTTCTTGATTACAGCCATCTCAATAATGCCATTAATATTTTTTTCTGTTTTGGGTAGGCTTTAGTAGGATTTACAAATTTTATTAAACAGGAAATACATATGTAGGTATAATAATGTTTGTGCGTAAAGCAACATAATGCATAAAGATGAATGAGGAAAATTCATCCGTCTTACTAAAATGCGGTTATATTTGAAATTATTTGAGTGTTATTTAAAACAAATGAAGAACATTTAAATTATCCTATAAATATTACCTAAAAGATACAATTAGTAACGTTAAGGAAAGCCTTCAATAGTATTTAACAGATTTGAGGTTAACAATACTTATTGGTTCCCAATTGAACTTTTTTAAGTATCTATCAGTATTTTTTTATTGTCATTTTAATATGTGCCAAATAATATTAATGCCAGACAGAGAATCTTATTCAGATATTAAAATCTCGCTTTAAATCGTCATTGATTTCAACTCATTTCTTAATCGCTTGTGTGTACAATTTGACGTCGAATACAAATATAATAATTATTTATAGATGATCAAATGAACTTACCTGTAGTGAAGTTCGATCTAAATTATCCTGACTTC